GCGGGGCTTGATCCCAGGACTCTGGGATCATGACCTGAGCCGAAGGCAGACACTTAACGACTGAGCCACCCAGGCGCCCCTTTCTTTCCTTTTTTTTTAACAGAGGGAGTGCCTGCATGCACTGTGGAGGGGAAGGAGGGAGAGAATCTTATGCTGGCTCCACGCTCAGCGTGGAGTCCAACCCGAGGCTTGATCCCACAACCCTGACATCATGACCTGAGATGAATGAAATCAAAAGTCGGACTGAAGCACTAAGGCGCCCCAAGAAATATTTCCAAAGAAGTTGAGAAACATTAATTCAGTACAACCAGCAGTGAAACCTGCTAAGATGTGTTACAACCAATGGTGATAAAAAATGTGTGTGGAACAGAAAGAGGCTTAGTTGGACAAATTTACAAAGCTTGTGAAAATGCAGTGTTGAAAGCCTGAGGGTATTCACTGTATTATTCAACAGCAGGTGCTCTGCAGAAAATGCTTGAATCTATCATGTGCTATTGAGCCAGCAGTCCCAACAGTGTCCTTCATTCATTCTTACGAATGCAACCATCATCAGTTCTGTGGATTTTCGTCAGAAATAGAAACTGCATAAATCTTGGCTTACCCCAGCACACAGCGGTTGCCTATGGCTTCACAGTGCTGACATGTTACTGTGCATTGTGGGGCTCAGGACCAAGACTGAAATTTTTCGGAATGAGAAGAATCATTCTCAATCACTATTATCAAACCTTAAATGGCTTTGGAAATAAGCTTTGCTGCAGACTTAATAATATTTTTAAGTCAATTCAAACTAAACTTACAAGGCAAATAGCACTTAAACGTAAAACTTAACACCTGGGGAAAGCCATTTCAACAACCAATGTTTGAATCACAATGTCAAGCTGCTTTATACACTTCCCATGTGGTCAAAACCTAAAACAAGAAACTAGATCCCCCCCATTCCCACACAAATCTGCAGCAGGTATATTTCCCGAGCTCAAACTATAGGCCCAGAGTATTTTGTGGCCTTGATTTCAGTGCAAATGAAATTTCCATATCCCCAAATCCAGTTAACTGGGTAATTGAGAAGCTTTTACCAACCTTCAACTGGAAGTAATTAATCTACAAGGTAATGACATGCCAAAAGGCAAAACAAGATAAAAATCTAATAGAATTCTACATATGCATTCCAAGAGATAAATATGGTCAAAATTATATGCACATGGACTGATATCAGCACTTGGCAGGACTAACCTCTCAGCTATTTTCAAAGAGGAAATACTAAAATCTCATTACAGATCAGCATTAACAGATAAATGTTTTCAATCAATTTTGATGATAGGGAACGTTTTGAACTCCAACTAAATGAAATGTTATCTCTAAAAAAATAATTTAATTCTCCTCAGCAGTAAGCCTATATTCTAAAAGGAAAATTGTATTCAATTATTATTATTATTATTTTTTTTAAAGTTTTTTTTTTATTTATTTATTCATGAGAGTCAGAGAGACAGAGAGAGAGAGAGGCAGAGGCAGAGGCAGAGGGAGAAGCAGGCTCCCCGCTTAGCAGGGAGCCTGATGCGGGACTCGATCCCAGGACCCTGGGATCATGACCTGAGCCGAAGGCAGATGCTTAACCATCTGAGCCACCCAGGCGCCCTATTCAATTATTATTTTTAAAAAATTTTTATTTCATCGATGTAAACTTTTGTGGAAATTTGTTCTCTCTTGCTGTATCTACATAATATACCATAATACATACATGTCCCAGTATGTCTTGCAAATGCATTTTTAAAAAATAATATATTTTTATAAACAAAGAGATAATAAACAGTGGTTACTATTTATTTACAGAAGGTTGTTAAAGGGAATTTCTTGGTAACCCTGTATTATCCACACTGGGATAAAAGTGATGGGGTAGATCGTTGAAGTGCAAGAACATAGCATTCGATCCACTTTCAGAAACTCGTGGAGGAAGTGAAATGACTAATCTCTCAACAGCACTGCAAAATGCAGTTGTTAAATACCAACCACATTGGTCAACAGAACCAGTTTCTTAACATTTTCAGGAAAATTTCAAAGCTCAATTCCTTTCTTCACACAGGAGTAAAACCATTAGAAATATACTCCAACAAGTCAAACAAACAAACCAAAAAGCTTTTACTTCCTCAGTGAGCTCTTAGGTAGAAAATGGCAGTCAAAGTACTTCTCTGTTCACAGGGCCCTGGGCTTACTAGAGAGTGCCTAAACTTTCAAGGAATTTCAAGTCAATGGTACTGACTGTGAGAACAACAGGGAGGGGACCAGGGTCCTGACACCCCAGCTCACTTGACTCAATGGTGGGCTCAGAACACCTGTCTCTTTGCATCTCTGGCTCACTCTCTCTTAAGCTCTTCTCCAGTGGACCTTCTCTCCACAGGTCCCTTTCTCCTTCTCTCATCTATTTCTGGCCACTACACTGTTTCTTTAATGGGTCATAAAATCTTCTGCAGCCTGTTATTGCCATCTTCCACTCTGGAGCCAATGCTCAGGGTTCAGTGCCCAGGGGATCCCTTCATACTGATCAACACAATACAGCTAGAGAAGTGCTTGATTTCTACTATTGCCAAATTTTACCTAAGTGAGATAAAGTAGATGAGCCAAAGAAAGTCAAGTACCCCCACATTTGTGATGGAATTGTCTTAGGGAAGAACTGCTGAGTTCTCCTCATTCTGACAGGGGACAGATACCAGCTGTAGAAGCTATAAGAGGAAGGGCAGATTCTCACTCAAAGTTGGGGCAATTCTGCAGCAGACGCTCACCCATTTGGATGATTGTTTGACACCCAACTCAATACTCTGCAACCTCCCCATAAGAATAAACCAAACAACTGAAAAATGAAGATTCAGGAGCAGTAAAGTTTTCAACAGCCATATCCATCTCGGGTGCCTAGAAAGTTCTACCCCAGTGTCAGGGACGAGAGGTTAGGCAGAGAAGCTATTTGCCATGTCTATATTTTCCTTTTTATCCACACACCCAAATAACAGGCTTCTTTCCCTTTTACAAGTGTATAGATTTGAGTCGAGACTATGTGGTAGAATGAAAGGGATAACAAATTTCAGAAGCTCTCCATAAAATAAATTAGTCCAAAAGCCACTCTTGAACTTTTTCTATCTAGTTTACAATCCATGACTCATCCCTGAAACCATTCTCTTACCAATATCTTCAGCTCCCCAATCTTGCTACCCCAAACCTACTTCAATCAAAAGTTCTGCCCCTTCCACATCGTCACTCAAATCTCTAGGCCTAAGTGGAGAAAATCACAGAATCGTAAAACCAGACCAAATGGCAACATTATAAATGTCTGGTCTCTAACTCTGACAGGGTACTCAATGCTACCAAGTAAAGCTAAGTTTCCCGGTCAACTCTACCATTCTTCAAAGTTACCATTTTAAACCCTCCCCACTCTCCTCATACCTGCCACTTTATCACCTCATTCTTGGAAGATGATCACAGTCCCTACTTCATAAAGAAGAAAGAGTCATACAGAAACTGTTTTAAACCTTGTGCCACAAAACCTATACATCCACATGTACCTAGACCATCCTCTCCCTATCTCTTAACATCAATCATCCTCTGGCCTCTGCTCCCCCCCCCAAAAAATACCAACCTCCTTCCCCGCAAATCTCCTTGAAAGCATTACCTGCACTCACCATCTCCCTTGTTCCACCCCACCCCATGCACACTGCTCCCTCCAAGGTCACCAGTGGTCTTGAATGAGCACTTTGCTGTCTTGCTCTCACTCAACCAGCAGTAGGCATGGTTGACCCCTTGGGTCTCTCCCCATGGCCTCCATGAGAGCACACTCCCTGGGTATTCCTTCCACCCCACTGCTGCTGTTTCTCCAGCAAAGAAGACACAGATACATAAATACAGAAACAAGAAAATGTAAGAGAGTCATTCCTAACTCATTAGAGATAGGGAGTTTTTCAACATTTGGGTTGCACCACACTGAGGCGGACACCGCTAACTCCAGTCACCCCTGAACTCCCGTGCTTGTCTCACCTGCTGGAACAGGAGCTCCTCTGCTTTGAGCCTCTCCATCATTTTCTGCTCTATCACAGCTAGTTCTCTCTCATGCTCCAAGTCGACCATTTCCTTCTGTCTCTAGCAGTGTTTAAAAACAATGTCACGTGACTAATTTGAGATAGAACAATTTTATAATAAAAACAATCTTGAAAACATGTTAATCACCAACAAGAGGGAAAGGGGAAGCAAATTTTACTCTACCCCATTTAGAAAATGTGTAATAATTTGGGGAAATGTGTGTTTTATTTGGACAAAGAGCATAAAATTAAAATTATACCCTGGGTATGATCACAATTGTGTAAAAAAAAAAGTCTACAAATGTATAGAAAATCTATAGAAAAAAGATTAGAAGAAAATACCTAAAAATCTAAAAAGAGGTCTTCTGTGAAGTATTTTTTTCTTCTTTCTGTTTTTTCATATTGTCCAAGTTTTTCATAATAAATGTACTACTTTTATAATAGAAATAACACTGAACTTCTTAAAAAAGCAGACAAATGGAAACAATTATTTTACGCTTCTAATTTTCTTTTTTTTTTTTTTTTTAAGATTTTATTTATTTATTTAACAGAGAGAAACAAAGCGAGAGAGGGAACACAAGCAGGGGGAGTGGGAGAGGGAGAAGCAGGCTTCCCGCGGACCAGAGAGCCTGATGTGGGGCTCGATCCCAGGACCCTGGGATCATGACCTGAGCTGAAGGCAGATGCTTAATGACTGAGCCACCCAGGCGCCCCTATGCTTCTAATTTTCTAAAACAAGATCCCTACTTACCAGTTGCTCCATGGTCACATTTTCCTTATATTTGTAAATCCACAATGCTAAATATTCTATTGGATCCACTGGGCGAATTCTTGCCACTTCTGCAAGACCTTGAGTTAGACATGTCCCAAGGCACTTCTGAAGATATATCGACTCCATTTCTCACCTCTGACTTCTAAAAGGTAAATGTTTTTGCATTAATGCATGGAATGTTCAATAAAGCACAATAAAAGTAGAGTCCAATGAGGCCAACAAAGCATTGCACCCTGTCATGGGCACCTCCCATCAGGGATGACACAAGCAAGCTGGCTCCATGAAGCTTCTAACAGTTTCCAAAAAGACTCCACAGATGTCACAACAGCTACCACTAAGATGTACTTTCAAAATCCTGATGGCTCTCAAGGCCAAGAGTCAGAAAAGAACAACAAACAAAACCCCAAACCAGCAAAGGGAAGGAAATAACAAAGATTAGAGCAGAAATAAATGATACAGGAACTAAACAAACAAAAAACAATGAAAAAGAAAAGAGTCAGAAAAAGGGATACCGTCATTATTGTGAGATGGCTACATGCCAAGCAGTGCATGTCTCACTCGATCCTCACAACGTGGGTAATAAATCACTGTCATTACCCCTGCTGTGTAGATGAGGAAGCCCAGGCACAAAGAGCTTATAAGTCAACATGGTGAACATGGGATGCATATCCAACTCATGATTCCAGAGTCATTATCTTAATGATTCAGATGTTCCTCCCAAGCCACGAGGGTCAGTTTTAAAAACATCACAATACTCCACCTCAAAAAAACACAAAAGTCCATGAATCTCCAAGGACAAAGGATAAAAAAAAAAAAAAATTCAACCATCAAAGAATAGCATATGAAGCTCCTCACACTTTGGCCCCGATTTCTTCTCAGGCTCACCTCCAGACATCTCTTCGGCCTCCAGCATATCCCGGGCTCTAACTACACTGAACATTCTGCCATTCTGCCAGTCATACCTTGCACACTTCCATCTCCAAGACTTCTGCACATAATTATTCCTCACTATCTCCCAGCTTAGATTTATCTCCTCATCTGCAAAATGTAGGTCATCTCTCATTCCCTGAGCCTTCCCAAGCAATGCAAAGGAAATCCTCCTTCTCCAAGCAACTCACACAGCACCTGTCATCCAGCCTGAGAATCATCTGTGTACACACACATCTGTCCTCCCAAGACAAGTTCCTCCAGCTCCTCAAGGAGTGTGTTTTAATCACAGGGTGGGCACACTGGCTTCCCATGGAGGCAAGTGAGTGAGTTTCTCCACTCTCCCAGTAATGTTCCAGTATATTCAGTTATGAAGATGGACAGGAATAATCTTAGACCAGATTTGAAGGAAGGAAAGAAGGAAGGAAGGAAGGCAGGAAGAAAGGGGAAATGTAGCAACCACTGTACTTCAGGTGCTTTGAAAAAACTGATCACCCTCAAATTACCCTTATGGTATCCAGTCATTTCTAAGAATCTAATGAAATGTATTCATTATTCAACAAATATATACTGAGTACCTGCTATAGGTCAGGCATGAGCTGAATATGAAGGAATAGAATGCCAGCAGGTCTAGTCCTGTCCCTGTACAAATAAATGCACTGAACATTCTGCATAAAATTTCAGAAACAACAACCTCCTGAGGTTCATAAACCCCAATAGTGCTCTCTCTCACTTGATGGTGGTGAGCGTATAAATTGGTAGAGCCCCCACAGAGAGGAATTTGGCAGTATCTAGAAAATTACATAGGTATTTACCCTTTGAACCATTGATCTCACTTCTCACATGTTAACTTGCAAAAATACAGAGTGATGATATATGTACATAGTTATTTTGCACCGTTACTTAAAATAGTCAAACTGGAACCCCATCCAAAAGTTCATCCTTAAGGGACTGATGAGATACAGCCACACAATGGATTACTGTGCATGTATATTATATAAAAGACATGAAGAAGATCTCTAAAACAGGGAGTGATCATAGGGTGAAGTGAAAAAAAAGCAAGATGCAGAAATTGTAGATAGTATGCCACCTTTTGTATTAACAGCAGTGGGGAAAGGAATGTGTATGTGTGTACATAAATGTAGTCATAAAAACTTAAAACTCTACAAACTGGCACGAATGAACTGAATTTCCTTTCAAGCTGGCATTGGTGTCTAACCATAGAGAGAGAAGGATTAGAGTATTACAAACGAGTTTGAGACACAGTATCTACACTGTGCTTCTTCAACGGGATATACTCTCAAGACAAAAATAACTGCAGTGACATCTCAATGTCATCTGAAACGTAAAACAGGTTTCCTGCTGCTGTTCCAGAAAGATAATACATGGGAAAGGGACCATGTCCCCAAGGGAGAAACCTCTGGCCTGAGAGTAGCATCCGATCCGATCGAGGGTCTGTCTCAGATCTATGCATAGATTAGACGAACCCAGGTAAGCTCGTTACTTGACTTCTCATGTTTCCTGTCCATGAAATGGAGGTAATACCCATCTCACAGGTTGTTGTAAGGAATGTTAATTTTCATATACACCAACAGGCATCTCGGCTCAATATAAGAAAGCCCTTTCCCAGAGAAACAGCAACCTCAAGCCTGGAGAGGTTGTCACAAGTAATAGAAAGAGGTCCTTTACCCATGCCTAGGAGAAAGCCCGCCAGCCTAGTGGGACAAGAGGGGATTCGGGATTCGGGATTGCCAGACGTAGCACATAAAAATACGGGATGCCCAGTTCAACATAAATTTCAGAGAAAGAAGGAATGACGTGTTAGTACAGTGTAGTATAATACAAAATCATTCGTTGTTTATCTGAAATTCACAATGAACTGGGTGTCCCGTGTTTTATCTGGCAACCCTCGATTGGGGGCGCTTGGGTTCATTTTCCTATCCTGGGTCTACCGAAGGGACTCTCGCCTTCCCCGTCCCCTCCATCCGGAGCGGCGAGGCCAGCGGAGGAGAAGGGGGGGGGGAGGAGGAGGAAGAGGAGGAGGCGCTCCCCAGGCGCTGCACTAAAACCTCTCTCCGTCCGGAGAAGCCTGAGACCCACACCGCTCACAAGGTCCAACGGCCCAAACCGCCGCCCCGGCGGGAGGCCCGCCAAGTACCTGCCTGGGCGAAGGACGCCAGCGCTCTGGACGCGCACACCCAACGCATGCGCCTACCCTCGCCCCGCGAGTCGCGTCCCGTCGCTAGGCAACGAGCGCGCGCGCCTCAGAACCCGAGACGGCGCACTGCACAAGGGCAGGGCGCGCGGAGGGGTGAGCGCGGGGTGGGGCGCCGGGAGGGGGTGAGGGGTGGAGAACGCGCGGCGGAGAGGAGGGGGTGCGACAGTCGCGGGCAGACGGCGCGCGCGGGGTGTGGCGGGGGCGCCCCACAGAGGAGGGAGTGCCGGGGTGGGTGAGCAGAGACTCGCCACCTGGAGGCTGGGAGGAGCGGGCGGCCGAGAAGAAGAGTCGAGCCGGCTGGGAGGCCGGCGCGCACTGGGAGAGACAGAGGGGCGGCGGGCTCGAGGGGAGGAGCCGCAGGGGGGCCACCTGCTCACCCAGGCGGGAAACCCCCACAGCCCCCCGGCCGGAGGAGACGATCCCCGGAGTTCGACGGCCCGGGATTTTCACGGCTTCGCACCTTTGAGATTGCTGGTGACCTCCGCTTGGTTCCTTTCAGAACCAGCTCAGGCGCCCCCACCTCCGGGAAGCTGTCCAACCTCCACCAAGCCAGAGCCATTGCAGTCTTCCCTGACCTAGTGTTTTGTGTACAGCACTCTGCTAGCATTTCCCACGTTCTGTTTTAATTTACGTTGGGCAATGCTGGGCAGGAGAAGCCTCCTTAAACGTTGGTTGAGACAGTAAGTACCAGAGTGGGCACTGACAGATGGACGGGAGCTTGGGCTCTTGCCTGGGTTAGCAAGAGCCTTCACTGGATTAAGTCAAAAAATATGTCCTGAGCAACTACTGTGTGCCTAGCACTGGGGATATAGTGTGAACAAAGACCATCTCTATGCTTGTTGCCTCGCCTACCGAGTTGCAAGGCCATGAACAAGGAGGGGCAGTGTTAAGCTGACTCCCAGAGGAGCTCTGGGAAGAATAGGCCTGTCGGTCCGCCTTGGTAAGTGTGCCTGGTGTTTGTGGAGAGAGGACTGTAAAAGGCACCCCTTTGGCCCCCTCCCTCTCCTGGCCTCACACTGTGGCTCTGTTATTCTGTCTCTACTGTCTTTGCATCAAGTTTTAGTAACTGTCAGGTCCCCTATTTCATTGAGACCACTGTTGAAAACGTGCAATTTAGAGCAGAGGCTTACTCCAGAAAGCGTTTGCCATACCTACACAGAGAAGCAGACATTTGAGGGTTGGGAAGTGGAGAGCTTTTCTGGAATGCAGAGTTGGTGATCTGTAGATCTGTAACTGAATCACCCAGGGATTTTGTTAGAATGCAGAATCTGAATATGTAAGTGTGGGGTGGGACCTGAGAATCTGCATTTTGACACGCCTCCGGGTGATGCAATGCTGCAGATCATGGACCACACTTGGAGTGACAGGGGACTCAATCCCAGGACCCTGAGATCATGACCTGAGCCGAAGGCAGACACTTAACCAACTGAGCCATCCAGGTGCCCCCCAAATTTAGTGGCTTTAAACACGCATTTATTCTCTTGGCAGTTTTTGAAGCCAGAATCAAAAATGAGTCTTACAGGGCTAAAACCAAAGTGTCAGCAGGGCTGGTTCCTTCCACAGGCTCTAGGGGAGAATCCATGTCCTTGCCTTTTCCAGCTTCACAGGCTACCCACAATCCTTGGCTCAAGGCCCTGAATCACATGACCTTGTCTCTCTCAACTTCCACCATCACATCTCCTTGTTCCCTGTCTGACCTTACTGTGTCCCGATTATAAAGACCCTTGGGATTACAATGTGCCTCCAAGGATAATCCAGTATCATCTTCCCATATAAAAATCCTTCCTCACATCTGCAAAGTCCCTTTTGCCAGACAAGGTAACAGATTTCTTAGGTTCCAGGTATTCAGACACTTTGGGAAGCCATTACTCAGTCCAACCACACTGTGTATTTCCAAAGAAAAATTACATTTTCTTACTCATATTTCAGTGACCCAAACCAGGATATTTAACCTTGATACACTTTTTTGGGGGACGGGGAGGGTGGGGGAAAGGACATGAGGGCAAGCAGGGAGAGGGGCAGAGGAAGAGAGATAGAATCCTAAGCAGACTTCACACTCAGCACAGAGCCTGACGTGGGGCTCAATCTCATGACCCTGAGATCATGACCTGAGCCAAAATCAAGAGTCAGACACTTAACCGACTGAGCCACCAGGCGCCCCAACCTTGATACACTTCTATTATGTCATGTACAATTCACATTCAGTTTCCCCAACAACACTTTATAAAATTCTTTTTTCTAGTTCAGACTCAATCCAGAACCATGTGTTCCATGCATTTGTTAGGCCTGTTTAGGCTCCTTTGATCTGGAATGGTTCCTCCTCTTTTTTTGTCTTTCACGATCTTGACATTTGTAAGAGTACAGGCCAGTTCCAGACTGTCTCAATTTGGCTTTGTTCGTATCTCCTCAGTTAGATTCCAGTTTTGCATTTGGGCAAGAATCCACAGAAATATATTTCATCCCCCTAAAAAGTGCATCCCATCAGGAGACACATGATGTCACTTTGTCGCTTTCTTAGTGATGTTTCCTTAGATCACTTGATTAAGGTTGTATCGGGTGGGGGCGCCTGGGTGACTCAGTCGTTAAGCGTCTGCCTTTGGCTCAGGTCATGATCCCAGGGTCCTGGGATCGAGCCCCGCATCGAGCCCCGCATCGAGCCCCGCATCGAGCCCCGCATCGGGCTCCCTGCTCGGCGGGAAGCCTGCTCTCCGTCTCCCACTCCCGCTGCTTGTGTTCCTGCTCTCGCTATCTCTGTCTCTGTCAAATAAATAAATAAAATCTTTAAAAAAAAAAAAAGGTTGTATCGGGTGGGTCTCACCACTGTAAAGTTCCTGTATTTCCTTTTGGAATTAATACATAATTTGTGGGGAGAAACTTTGAGGCTATATGAATATCCTGTTCTCTATCAAATATTCATTGAGTTTTAGAACTCACTGTTGATTCTGGCTTGATGCAGTTATACTATGATGGTTACAAAATGTTGATTTTTTTTTTTAAACTCCATTGTTCTTCCCATGTTTATTAGTTGACATTCTACCTTAAGAACTTGCCTTCTCTCCCATTCACTCACTTACCAATTTTTTCTTATATTGATTCACAGATTTTTTATTTTCCCCAATTAGTTATAATCCATTATAGCCAATACTTATTTCAATGGTCTAATTGCGCTAGATTGGGCGAGTAGCCGCCCAATCTGCTGGCTCCTGTGTCCTTAACCACTTATTTTCTAGCATTTTTCTACTTTGTGGGACAAGAAAATGCTCCAGGCTTCTTGGACCTTTCCTGCCCCAACCTTAGAATTCAGCATTTCTCCAAGGAACCCTGATTGCTCTTAAGTGGTGAAGGCTATTTCAAAACAAGTTCCCTATGCTCAGTGTGCTCATTGCTACTTAAGTGTTTTTGCCTCTAGGCTTTTGCAATGAAAAGAGCTTGGAAATATATAACTTTTTTCTATATACATATCTATGTATCTTTCCTTCCTTAAACTGAAAAACACCTCCAGAAAATGTTAAGACTGGAACCGAGCCTTTATCATTCACTTTTTTATTAACTCTTTTGGACTTAAAATGTGTAAACTTCAGAAATATGGAGGTGATCAGAAATAGGTGTTAGTCCATTGTATGTCACAGTCTTCCACTATAATAGCTAATATTTATGAAACACGTACCAGGGCACCTGGGTGGCTCAATCAGTTAAGAGTCTGCCTTCAGCTCAGCTCATGATCCCAGGGTCCTGGGATGGAGCCCCACATCAAGCCCTGCATCAGGCTCTCTGCTCAGTGGAGAGCCTTCTTCTCCCTCTCCCTCTGCCCCTCCCCTCTGCTCGTGCTCTCTCTCACACACTCTCTCTCTCTCTCTCAAATAAGTAAAAAAATCTAAAATATATATGTATATATTTATTAAACACCATGTGCCAGGCTAAGTGCTTTACATGTATTTGTTATCTCTTCTAACCCCCACAATTTTGAGGCCCATATCTTTATTATTTTGTTCTACAGATGAGAAAACCAAGGCTCAGAGAGACCGGATGACTTGTTGAAGATCACACAGCTATAAGCGGCAGCACCAGGACTGGAACTAGGTCTGTCTGTTCCCGGAGTCTGTGTTCAGACCGCGGCTCTACACGGCCACCCCTAACTTATGGTCTGACTCAGGCTACATTGCCTCCAGCTCTGGAAATCTGATTAATAGTAAATGCCGGGGCATCAGCTCAACCTCAAGTAGTTTCTTGCTTGAGCACTAGAGTAGAATAGTGTGTTACACACTGGGAAAGCTCATGAGCACGGGTAGCTACAGTGCCTGCCATCCTCCCTCCCTCTGCTCCCCAGGGCTGCTCCGTGGCCCCTTCTGAAATAACTAAGCCTCTCTTATCTATGTCACAGATAACTGTACCTTCCAACTTCACAATAGCACAGCTTGCTGGGTCCTTAGAGCCCCTCTTGGGACCTCCAGCCTGCGAAATTATTTCCTCCCTAGAGATGTGTGGGTAAGTGGAGACCTTAGCCACCCCTAACCACAACTATATCAAGCTCCCCTCTGGCCTCATGACCCCCAGGACCTATTTATTATCTGACCTAAGACAGTCGGAGAGCTTTAAAAAAAAAAAAAAAGTCCATTTAAATGTAAGAGCAATTGGCAAGTATATATTTACTGTTTCTTTTGGGAAGGGTGGCATCCAGAAGTATCTCATATGTATCCTGAAATGAATCCGAATTGACTAGCATGTGTCTATTTTAAAAATCAGATTCGATTTATAAAGTAGTGTGACCCCACTGTGCTGTTTGCCAGGCCCACAGGATGGAAACGGACTACCTGAAGAGGTGCTTTGGCAATTGCCTGAGCCAGGCACTGGCAGAGGTGGCGAAAGTTCGGCCCAGTGACCCCGTCGAGTACCTGGCTCACTGGCTTTATCATTACAGGAAAATCACTAAAGCAAAAGAAGAGGTGTGTATTGCTCAGAGCCATCTTGGGGAGGGCTTTCCAGCTTTCTCACGGTAATTTGAAATCCAAAGCAAGATTCCAGAGCTAGCCCAGAAAGTTTCTTGGTTTGTTCGACTTGCGAGATCCCTTAGGCCCAGATATTCCTGAAGAGTGGGGAGTCTGGGGGCTGAAGAAGGACTCCAACTCAGAGGAGTTGAGGGATTGGTGGGTTTGGAGCTACTAGCAGGCAAAAGCTGGTCATAGGAGCAAACAGGGCCCCAGGCCTGTGGTCTGTGCCAGTGAGAGCAAGCCCATTTGTACAGGCTTCCCAGGGGCCGACTTGACTCAGCTCCCCTCTCACCTCAGGAGAGCCAGGAGATGATCCAGCTGAAGGAAGAACACGACAATAGCCTCAAAGAAACCAAAATGACAGAAATGCCGAAGCAAGAAGAGTGTCAGATTCAACAGCAGTATGCAAAGTGCCACAAGGTAGGGAGGGAGGAACCCAGCAGCGGGCAGGTGCACAGCCCAGAGCTGGATACCAGGAAATCCACAGGCCAGCGAGGCTGCAGCACCCAGCGGACTGAGGCTCCAGAGCTTGCTTCTCTCCGTCTTCTTATGTTTATATGTCCCCAATCTTATTGACAATCCTGGTCAAGGAAAAAAGGAAATGTCGAAAGGCAATTCCATTTTAGATTTCAGGAAATACCTTAGATGTTACTCATTTTAAAAAATCAGATTTTTAGGGCGCCTGGGTGGCTCAGTCGGTTAAGCGACTGCCTTCGGCTCAGGTCATGATCC